AAGAATAAAGTTGTCTTCCGATTAAAATATGTCCTGTTAAAATCGGTATAAACGTGGCTCCGATTGCACGAGTATATCTTAATTAAAGAAAAGAATTTTTTTAAAGTTTTTTCAAAAATTTTAATTGATCCAGAGATTTAAAAACTTTGCTAAAATGATATTTTAGGAATATGATAATTCTAAATCGCGTTTAAATTTGAATTTAAAAATTCGATTGCCGCAGAAAGGAATCTTTTCTTTAAATATCGTTCGAAACGTCGAATTCCGTCATTCTGTTTCTGCTGCAAACAAGATAAGCATCGCTATGAACGATCGTCAGGAAAAGAAAGCCCCGGAAAAAAAACCCGAGTCGAGGGAAGTGACTCCTTCAAACATACACATGCTTCCGGTATTTAAGGATGAGAGAAAAAAAATTTTCGACGTCGAAAAAAAATAATATTAACAAAATAATAAAAACAAAACAAAAATAATATTAACAAGAACCTTAGCATCGACATCCATAAAAACTGGCTTCAATTATTAAAATAAAATAGAATGTTTATACAGTCGCAGGCGAGGCTGTGTGCAACACTCGGAGAAGGGTAATGTTACAAATTACGAGGCATGCGGGGGAGTCCGTCAAGTCGGGAAAAAAGAGGGGAGGGGAAGGGAGCGGGAAGTACGGACACACAAGTCACAACTATCGACGTAACAGACTGAAGAGGGGCGAAAGCCCGAAACGCGTTTCTGTAAGAAGTAAATGTAGGTGATGGAATTATTTGCCAAGTGTCTATAAATGCACCAAGTCGTGACATAGAATCAGAAGAAACAAGANCTCCTTATGCATCCGAATGTCGACAGTGGTAAAGGACACATTTTTCTGTTTATCAATTTTTGTTCTTTACAAGCGGCCCTTGAATAAACTGAGTTGTTACTTTCTCGAAGGTGAAGAGCTGCCATTTTTGGAATAATCTTTTTAACTTTTGTGTATTTACTTGTTTCCTCCATTTTCATGAAAATGGGTTATTCAAATAAAGAAGCATTGGTAGACATGCTGATGACTTTATCTGTATGTTAGTAAGATTATTCACAAGCTGCAAATCTTTATGCCAGACTTTATGGGGACGAATGAAGGAAATGGTTTACTTTCAGTGTCCTTCTACTGACAACATGAAAGGCAGAAGTTTGGAACGTTTTCATAAGATTAGTAGATGTTAATTACTAAATGTAATAAATGTCTTTCTTAAAAGAGAAAATGCATGTATACGCCAAGAGGGTAGACATTCTCAGCATCCAATTTAAATAAATTATGAAATGTACTTCATTACTATCATTTTTCTGACATGTAAAGCTTTTTGATATTTAAATTGATAAACTTAGTTCCCAACATACACTTTCTGAAAAGAGAAAAATCAATTTTTAGTAGAAACTGAATGATATCTTAAAAACAGTTGGGCTTAAGAAAATATGACCTATTACAAAAGGTGTTTATTTTGTCGCGTACAATTTATATAATGTCTCAAAAACACCACTCATAATTAAAAATACCCCATTTATTGTATTTCAAAAATCGCTGATTTGCCAGGTTACCAAAATTTTCCTCCTCCTCTACAAACTTGGTATTTCATCCCATCTTCCTATCTCCAACGGTTTTCGACAAAAAAAAATTAACTACTGGATGCTACCAGTGTATCACCGTATTTATAAATTGCACTTCCGTGTAGCTGTCAAATTCAAAATCATTTCCCTTTATTTGAATCGCCGAATTTAGTTCCTATTGGTTACTGTCGATCTACTGTTTCAGAATATATTATAAAACCACTAAAACTAACATTTTACAAAAATAAAGTAAAAATACGACAAACACTATTTTCCGTATCATATCGGGAGAAGAGAACTTTACTTCTGTCCATTGATCATTTCGTTTCTGGCTTCTCTATGAATTTATCGAATTTAAAATGTCTGATTCAAAAGTTATTTTAAGTTGTGATTTCTATGGTTAAAATATAAAGTTGATTAGGTTTGATCAATCTTGATTTTCATTAGATAACTTTGAAAATTCTATAAGGTCGTTGCAAATGAAATGGCCGACTTTTACTTTTGACTGAATTGTCTCCACCAACGTTAATATACTTTTCCCAATGCTACAGAAATGCATTAATGCCAATTTGATATAAATCACAACAATGAAAAGCCAAAAAGTCATTAAAGATATTTTGGTACTTTTCCGTTAAATTAACTGGGAGCCAGTCATTTTTACTGCTATTTTTAGCGAAATCGATATTTCGTAATTCACACGTTTAATATTTTACAATGTTATACACATTTTATAATGTTTAATACACATGTTTGTACACGTTTATACATCATTATTTATATACATGTTTATAAGTTTATCTGTAAAAAATGTGAAATTAAACATCGTTTTTTCTAAAACTGGATTGAAAATTAAATGGCGCCCAGTTAACGAAAAAGTACTGATATTTTTTATTGCGTCCTCTTCCTCGAAGACTTTCCTTGCTAAAACAAACAATCCAAATGTATTACAAAAATGATAGTCTGTTGGTAACAAGTCTGGAGAATAAGGTGGATGGGGAAGAATTTCAATTGAATACTTTCATTTTTGTGACGAATAATTAAAGAACTGCAACCTCCAAATTATGCTCATCTCTCTCACTGAGTTCGTGGGGTATCCATTTGTCGAGCTTCTTGACTTTCCCTAACATGTTTATATGTCGAGAAATGGTTGAATAATGTCCAGTATGTTCCTTTTCGCGATTTCCGTCATGTGAATTCTGATTCGATAATCATCTTCAATTCTGATTTTTAAGATTTGTATTCCCGGAATGAAATATTTTGAACCAATGCCTGTTGGCCTGCTCACTCACAGAACCTTCACCAAAAGTTTTATTGGTATTTCGGGTTGCTTCGGCTGAATTATGTCCCTGCTTATACTCCTAAAAGAAAATTATTCGATTTCCTTTTTTTCCCATGCCGTAGGAAAAAGTACTCTTTAAACATGTGTAACTCACAATATAAATTAAATTACATTTTCAATTCACATATTATGTGCGCTCTTCCAATTGCAAACACAGCACTGTTTACATGGAAAAAAAGTTGAACTACATGGATGGAAAGTTTAAAATTTAAAAAAACGGCCATTTCATTTGCAACGACCCAATAGAAGAAAAGATCGATTCGGAACGGATTTGAACTTCTGTTCCTGTCGACTTCGTATATTAACAAGAAAAATAATCTAGTATTTTACGTTTGACTAACGATTTAAGGAAAATTTGTGGTTAAATATATTTCCTATCGTTCAATTATCAATATTTAAACTTAAAATTCCGTAAAATGTATATTATTCGACATATTAAAAAAATTATTTGTATTTTAACCAATTAACGTACTGTACGTAGAATTCAGATACTTTATGTGAATTTTCCAATAGAAAATTCTTCCAATCAAATCATTACTGATGCTTATGAAAGCAATTGGTCTGTCATTGTTTCTTAACTGTTTTCAGGAAATCAAAATAATTTCCACCCAAATTCACTTACTTGTAATTAATAAATAAAAAAAGAGAACGAGAACTTAATTGACTCCTAATAATAATATTTTATTACGTTCGTAATAAATTACTTCATCGAATAAAACTAAAATTAATATTTGCTTACGATATAAAAAATAATATTCTTTAAATGAAGCTACGATGATTTGGATAATAACTTTATTAGTGATACGAAAAGAACGTTTATGATCCGTGAATACAAATCAAATATTTGTATGAATATAGGATAAAATTAATCAATTTTGTTGACATTGAATTTCATCTATCCGAATCCGAAGAATAATCGCGACGTTTATTATGCCTGCTGATCTTTTTTTTTTGTGACTGGAACTACTGTGACTGGATTTTGACTTCTTTCTGTGATGGTGGTCATCACTACGTTTTTCATCACTTTGATGTCTCTCTTTCCTTCGATAACTTTCGTCTTCTGAAGAAGTTAAACGTCTATGTCTATATTTAGAATCTTTGTGAAAATGCTTTGGTTTTTTCTAGAATGTCTATCACGATCGCTGTCGCTATCATCACGATGAGATCGACTTTTACGTTTAAAATGATTTTTTCGATCCTCCTTCCTTCTTTGATTATATTCCTCTTCTGAACTCTCAGATGAGCTACTGTTGCTATCACTACTGCTGCTGTTTTTCGTATCTTGTTTCAATTTTAATATTGCTTCTTTGGCATGTTTTAATTCCAACGATTGTTTATCCTCTTTTTCTTCGGAATTTTCTGTTAATCCTTCTTTTGATTCTTTTTTCGAATCGATGCTGGGAATTTGTTCTTCTCCGGGTTATTACCCCTGTTTTAGGTAGGGGTGTTTTGTTCTTCTTGCTCTCCTTTTCTGCTGTATGTGTAGATGGTATAAGCAAACATTTTTCGTGGCGAGTTAGAAATTCATTTGGTGAAACAGAAATGTCTGTCTAAACTCCACATGTCTTTGTGGATTTCAGAACAGCAGCAAATGTCTTCTGTTTCACTGGTGCATTTAAAGTTACCATGCATCGTGCGTAAATGTAGGTGATGGAATTATTTGCCAAGTGTCTATAAATGCACCAAGTCGTGACATAGAATCAGAAGAAACAGTCGAAAAAAAAATCGTCGACTCCAAAAACAAGATAGTCGACGCCAAGAGAAAAATCCTGGAGGCTAAAAGAAAAATAAAGAAGATCATTATAAAAAAGAACATAGAAAGCAAGGTAATTGAAATATCGGGGATGCCAAAAAAATTAAAACGTAAGAGAAGATCGAAATTGAAAAGAAAGAGCAATAGTAAGAAAAGAAGCAAGAAGGAAGGTAAACGACAGGCTAGAAGGGCTAGTGATAATGAAGAGTAGCAGGGCGTCGAAGAAAAGGAAACAGAATAGCTATATTCCTATAGTCTAGCAAACAAACGGCTCTTTTCAGAGCCATTTTTTATTGGTGAAGAGTAGTGAAATCGATTCTAATAAACAAGGCTTAATGTCGTAGATTCGGTTTGATTTTAAATTTTGAAGCGTTTCGAACGTCGTTTAGAGTGAAATTTGACTTTTCGATTATTTAATAATTTAATTTTTATATATCAAATAGAAAAATTATCGAAGAAAATGACTCCTTCCGACGAAGAGATGCTTCAGAAATTTAAGAAAGCCAGAAAAAAAATCGTCGACGCCGAAAGAAAGATNATGCAGTCAAGAAGAGCACATCTTGTCTGACGTGTTTGCCCGATCTGCATCGATCAGTTGACTCCAAGCCGAGGTCAAGAATGACTCAACGACCAGCCGATTGACTCAAACGGAGCCTGATTTGAGCCTCCCGTTTATCCGAAGCAGGGGCCAAAGCAGTGTGTTGGGGACGTTATGTTGCCCCTCAACTACCAGGATCCCCCTTTCCGGCATACGAGATACCACGCACGGCAAACACGTGGGTGGGTGTTCAGATCCCAGGGATGGTAAAGATAAGTTACTAAACCATCTCTGGGAGGTCCCCTCACCATGGACAGGAACCCACATCGAGGGGGATTCTGTTGACAAAGAAGTGCATGGCAAACCGACAGTTTTGATGTTACGTATCCAAGATGAAGAAACTGCAAGAAAAAAAAAAAAAAGTTAACAAATTTCATTCATGTAATAATCTACTTGAGACAACTGGTAAACATCTAGAAAGTAATCTACTTATGGCATGCGCAAAGCATACTGCTATCTTGTATTGTCATCTTAAATTTGTTCTGTGTGTTGTTTGTATTGTTTACCCGGCCAATGCCAAAGAATTCAACACTCACGTGTTTGCCATGTAGATACCCATATGCCAGAATGCTGGTAATCACTCTTCAAAAGGTATTGATGAGTCAATCGAGTATGCCCAATTCTCAAATGGGTAAGGATAATCTCAGATCTCCTTTCATATACTATGTTACGTATTCAATTAATAAGAATTTAGGATGTTTTACTTCCTTCTTGCCCACCTTCCATCTTGGAATTTTGCACACCACCTGGTCAGTTTACACAAGAATGCATCCCGTCAGATGATGCATTTCAGGGACTTAATATTGTGAAATAGACAATAATAAAATGGATGACTGGGAGAGACTCCGGGCAGTTCTTCCAAAAGATTTTGCCATAGAGTGTGTTCCTGATTTGACCACCGTGCCTGGAAACCAGTACTTCTGAAATCCTATAACCTCCGAAATTAACATGTCCATCAAGGTAACCATTTAATTGTGCAACTCTCTCTCTTAGGTTAGATTAATGTAGACCCTAGACTAGTGATAGGAGATATTCCATGTTTCCTTCTTATTCTCAGCATTCAGTTGTATTGTTATTCCCTTTTGTATTGTTATTCTTTGTATCCTTGTTACCGACGATTAAATTGTTAAGTATATATATATATATATATATAATATGACCTTTTTAGTCTGATATTTATTCCTTATGCACAAACCCACACAGAATCTTACCACTCGGGTTCTGTTTAAAAATTAAGCCATCCAGTGACAAAGTGAGCAGGTCTAACAGATATGACATATAGAGGGCATTGATCCTCGTCCATATTCTCACACCTGTTTCCACCAGAACTTATCAAGACAATATTAAACGAGACTAACCTTTACCTGGTACAAAGGGATCCCAATAACACTTTTCGTGTATCTGAAATGGAAATCCAGCAATTCATTGGTCTGGGGTACCTCATGTCACTAATTCAACTGCCCAGAGTTACGAACCACTGGGGACCCGTCCTTGGAACACCACCTATTCAACGAACAATGGCTTTGAACAAATTTGAAAAGATTAAACAGTTTCTGCATTTCAATGATAATAGCAAATAATGCGATTAGAAACCAGTATAGCCACAGCGCCACTGGTACGGTTGTGGCTATCATCGTCCTTGCGGTAGAAATCGAACCCTTTTAATGAAATTCTTTCTCCAGGTTTCAGATGGGTTTCCTGGAGTGCCACACAGAGAGACGAGGTAGATGATGTCAAGTGTTTAATGTCAGAGTAGTTGTTGCGGAAACCACGACAGTTCCATTGGATTATTTTATAATCCATTATGTGTTTGAGGCAGCATTCTTTGTGAAGGTATCCCTCTTTAGTTTTACGGCTGATTTGCCTTTCGGAGGTGAAGTTGGTGGAGTCACCTCCTTATTAGTCTCCTCATCAGAGAAGTCAGAGAACTCACTCATAGACTGAGCCTCTGATCTCTTAAATTTGGAGATGGCTGCTTTTAATTTTTGTTTGTTGAGCAGGTTCTTAGCAGCCTTCTTAGAACCCACGTTTCTTGTTATTACCCCTGTTTTAGGTAGGGGTGTTTTGTTCTTCTTGCTCTCCTTTTCTGCTGTATGTGTAGATGGTATAAGCAAACATTTTTCGTGGCGAGTTAGAGATTCATTTGGTGAAACAGAAATGTCTGTCTAAACTCCACATGTCTTTGTGGATTTCAGAACAGCAGCAAATGTCTTCTGTTTCACTGGTGCATTTAAAGTTACCATGCATCGTGCCTCTGGGTAAGGTAGATTGTTAACTGTTTTCACGCGCTGAATCTCTTTCTCTCTCTGCCATGCAGGGCATTTTCGGGAGTAGGAAGGATGTGAATCTTTGCAGTTAACACAGCATGGGGTACAAGTACACTCGGTACTCTCGTGACCTTCATCCCCACACTGTGCACATACATTCTTGCCACAGTAAGATGCCTGTGAATGTCCAAACCGCTGGCATTTAAAGCAGCGCAGCGGGTTTGGAATGTATGGTCGAACTGGGCAACACAGATATCCTGCTGTAATTACAGATGGCAATGTCGGCTTGTTAAATGTCAGAATTAGGTGTTTAGTAGGTATCACCCTTCCGTCTCGATGAATAGAGATGCGTCTGACATTAGTGACAACTTGATCCGAAAGGCCCGTCAATAGATCTGATTCGTCTTCTGACATCAAGTCTGACTCAGATATCACACCACGTGAGGAGTTTAGACTTCCATGTGGTGTGACCAGAACTCCCATTTCTCCGAGACTTTTTGTTGTCAAAAGCCTTGCTGATTGTTGAGGTGACGCTGTCTCTATAAGTAAATCCCCAGACCTCAACTTTTGTATTTTTTTCAGGTGCCCAATGGTAGATTCAAATAGCTTTTGAATCAAAAAAGGAGAGCATTTGGACAGTGGTTTATCTCCCGTAGCATGTATTATCAAGTATGCAGGCTCGCTGAAAAGTTTTCCGCCATTTGTTATTTGTTGTTCTGTACTATGTTGGAGTTTTAGATTTTTAGAATCCATATTGTTCAAAAAAGTTCAGCTCCTAGTGACCCCACCCACCATGGAGCCCAACAAGGGGATGCCGTCACATGGGAGACTCCCATAGACTGTCACATCAGGGTTTCCCAGGAGCTATACCCTCACAATGCAGTCAAGAAGAGCACATCTTGTCTGACGTGTTTGCCCGATCTGCATCGATCAGTTGACTCCAAGCCGAGGTCAAGAATGACTCAACGACCAGCCGATTGACTCAAACGGAGCCTGATTTGAGCCTCCCGTTTATCCGAAGCAGGGGCCAAAGCAGTGTGTTGGGGACGTGATGTTGCCCCTCAACTACCAGGATCCCCCTTTCCGGCATACGAGATACCACGCACGGCAAACACGTGGGTGGGTGTTCAGATCCCAGGGATGGTAAAGATAAGTTACTAAACCATCTCTGGGAGGTCCCCTCACCATGGACAGGAACCCACATCGAGGGGGATTCTGTTGACAAAGAAGTGCATGGCAAACCGACAGTTTTGATGTTACGTATCCAAGATGAAGAAACTGCAAGAAAAAAAAAAAAAAGTTAACAAATTTCATTCATGTAATAATCTACTTGAGACAACTGGTAAACATCTAGAAAGTAATCTACTTATGGCATGCGCAAAGCATACTGCTATCTTGTATTGTCATCTTAAATTTGTTCTGTGTGTTGTTTGTATTGTTTACCCGGCCAATGCCAAAGAATTCAACACTCACGTGTTTGCCATGTAGATACCCATATGCCAGAATGCTGGTAATCACTCTTCAAAAGGTATTGATGAGTCAATCGAGTATGCCCAATTCTCAAATGGGTAAGGATAATCTCAGATCTCCTTTCATATACTATGTTACGTATTCAATTAATAAGAATTTAGGATGTTTTACTTCCTTCTTGCCCACCTTCCATCTTGGAATTTTGCACACCACCTGGTCAGTTTACACAAGAATGCATCCCGTCAGATGATGCATTTCAGGGACTTAATATTGTGAAATAGACAATAATAAAATGGATGACTGGGAGAGACTCCGGGCAGTTCTTCCAAAAGATTTTGCCATAGAGTGTGTTCCTGATTTGACCACCGTGCCTGGAAACCAGTACTTCTGAAATCCTATAACCTCCGAAATTAACATGTCCATCAAGGTAACCATTTAATTGTGCAACTCTCTCTCTTAGGTTAGATTAATGTAGACCCTAGACTAGTGATAGGGGATATTCCATGTTTCCTTCTTATTCTCAGCATTCAGTTGTATTGTTATTCCCTTTTGTATTGTTATTCTTTGTATCCTTGTTACCGACGATTAAATTGTTAAGTATATATATATATATATATATAATATGACCTTTTTAGTCTGATATTTATTCCTTATGCACAAACCCACACAGAATCTTACCACTCGGGTTCTGTTTAAAAATTAAGCCATCCAGTGACAAAGTGAGCAGGTCTAACAGATATGACATATAGAGGGCATTGATCCTCGTCCATATTCTCACACCTGTTTCCACCAGAACTTATCAAGACAATATTAAACGAGACTAACCTTTACCTGGTACAAAGGGATCCCAATAACACTTTTCGTGTATCTGAAATGGAAATCCAGCAATTCATTGGTCTGGGGTACCTCATGTCACTAATTCAACTGCCCAGAGTTACGAACCACTGGGGACCCGTCCTTGGAACACCACTTATTCAACGAACAATGGCTTTGAACAAATTTGAAAAGATTAGACAGTTTCTGCATTTCAATGATAATAGCAAATTTCTTCCTCGGACTGACCCCAATGCTGACAGTATTTTCAAAATCCTGTCAGCATTAAAAAAAAAAAAAACTTTATTAGCGATACAAAGAGATCATTTATGATCCATGAATACAAATCCAAATATTTGTATGAATATAGGAAAAAATTAATCAATTTTGTTGACATTCAATTTCATCTATCCGAATCCGAAGAATAATCGCGACGTTTATTATGCCTGCTGATCTTTTTTTTTTGTGACTGGAACTACTGTGACTGGATTTTGACTTCTTTCTGTGATGGTGGTCATCACTACGTTTTTCATCACTTTGATGTCTCTCTTTCCTTCGATAACTTTCGTCTTCTGAAGAAGTTAAACGTCTATGTCTATATTTAGAATCTTTGTGAAAATGCTTTGGTTTTTTCTAGAATGTCTATCACGATCGCTGTCGCTATCATCACGATGAGATCGACTTTTACGTTTAAAATGATTTTTTCGATCCTCCTTCCTTCTTTGATTATATTCCTCTTCTGAACTCTCAGATGAGCTACTGTTGCTATCACTACTGCTGCTGTTTTTCGTATCTTGTTTCAATTTTAATATTGCTTCTTTGGCATGTTTTAATTCCAACGATTGTTTATCCTCTTTTTCTTCAAAATTTTCTGTTAATCCTTCTATTGATTCTTTTTTCGAATCGATGCTGGGAATTTGTTCTTCTCCGGTAGTTTGATTTAAAAAGTGTCTGTAAAATCCACTTAAATCCTGCTGTTTCGTTACATCCATCCTCTCTTCTAATTCTTTTGTCTACGTTCTCGTTCTTCTTCTTCTTGCTTTTCTAACAATTTTTTCTTATATGAAGACGTAACAAAAGCCTCCTTATCTTCAAATTCATTGCCTTCTTTTTCTCTTTCTTTCTGAATTTGTCTCTCTATTCTTCTTTCATACTCTTTTCTCCTTAATTCAGCAGCTTTCATTAGTGATTCTATATATTTAGGTTTTCTATCCTTAATGATGATTGTTTTTTCCTGCTTTTTGCCTTTTCATATCATCATAAATACTATCATATTCATAAACAGTAGGATCTTCTTCTAATACTTTCTGTATCTCCATATGTGTCTTCTTTTTTACTTTACTTTTCCAACTGTCTACTTTTTGTTCAGGATATAAAGACTCTTCATCACTATTATCAAATACTGATGATTTCTCTATAGTTTTCTTTACTTTGTTTGGTATTATTAAACCATACTGTTTCTTCGCCGCCATCTTTGTCTTATGATGTAGGAAAGTTGCTGTCAACCAGTTATTGATGCCTTGAACGCAACATTCAGCAAAGTTTCACTAAGAAAGAACCTTTCTGTGGATGAGCAATGTGCTCCACCAAAGCCCGAAATTTGCTGAAAAAATACAACTCCATGAAACTGCACAAATGGGGGTACAAAATCTATGTCTTGAGTGGCATTTCTGGGTTCGCCTATAAGACAGAGGTTGAAACAGGCAAAGAGAATATTGTTATTCAAGGAGAACCAGATTTGGGAGCCTCATCCAATGTTGTAATGAGATTGTCACACATGATCCCTAGGCACTAAAATTTTAGGCTGTACTTTGACAACTTTTTTACTTCTCTGTCTTCTAGAATATTTAGCCAAAGAAGAAATCCTCAGTCTTGGTACTATTAAAAGGAATAAGATTCCCAATTGGAAACTGTCATCGGAGAAGTTGATCATGAAGAAAGAATGAGGATATTCAGAAGAATACGTAGCCAGTGTCAATGGCATCGATGTGTCAACACTCACATGAAAGGACAATAAAATTGTCACCTTGGCTTTCACATTTGCTGGCCAAAAACCTGAAACTGAACTCCAGATACGACAAAAAAATCTCAAGATATGTAAACATCAAACAGCCTAATGTAGTTGGCAAGTATAATCGTTTTATGGAAGGCGTAGACCTTATCGACAGCATTATGGGCATATATCAGATTCCAATACAAAGCAAATATTGGCACATGCACATGTTCTATCATTACTTGGACCTCACAATGGCCAACACATGGCTGCTTTATAAAAAAGTGTACAAATACAAAAATATTTCTCAAAAGACCATCATGGCTTCAGCAAATTTCCGTCTGCAAGCTGCAGAGACACTATGCAAAATGTGGAATGAATCTAGTTTTTCGACACTGCAATCTCTACAATGTGAGATCTTAGCAAAGAAACAGAAAACATGCTCAGCATGTTACTCCACAGGCTGTTCATCAAGACCAGATTGGACACTGGCCTCAATGTACTGATAAAAAATCCATTGCAAATTTCCAAAATGCTTGAGATTTACTCACACTGTATGTGAGAAGTGTGGCGTGGCTCTATGCTACACAGAAAATAAAAACTGCTTCAGGAATTTCCACCTTTCATAAACCATCATGCATAATTAGAATTTTTTTGAAATTATTGCTTAGTGTTGCCTGTAAGCTTCACTCCCAATTTTGTATTTTTTGCTTTGAAATAAAAACAAAAAAATTTTTTAATACGTGTTTACTATTTTCTTAAACCCTGCCTAAATCTGTAACAATAATTAATATATATGTTTTTGAGTTATAGAAGGTTAACAAAATAATTATAAACTTATATACATCCTTTTTCTTAATATTGTTTAAATTTGTTGAAAGATCAAGTTGCGAGTTGCTATTGCATATATGAACAATTTCATATTGATCATGTATACTATTAAGTTTTACACGTTTTAATAACAAGTGAAAGAGTGAAAATTCATTAGTCAACATTTATTTGAGGTTGACCAAAGTGAAATACAATTAACCCCAACATGTGAGATGTTGCTTGTGTCCAGGTCAATCATACTGTTTACATTCTCCATTCATATGTCATATGTGAAGACACTACTTATCCAAACTGCAAATATGTTTGTTTGTTTTGTATTGGTTTTTTGGCACAAAAGCCATATAGGCTAAGCTAAGCCAAAGCAAATGGTGAAAAATTTTCATATTAACAAAATTAAATAAACAAGTAAATAAATAAATAAATAACAAAAAATATATAAAATACTTTAATTAAAACTGTATAATAAATACATATAATAAAATACAAACAAATCTCTTAATACCTATTAATGACATAAGAAATATATCACAATATTGAATAAATATATAAACAACAAAAAATAAATACAATATAAATAGACAAAAAAAGGTAAAAAAATTTGCAAAATAAATAAGTGATCAAATCTCTCTATACATATTGACTTTCAGAAAGTCCACTATATTGTGCAGATTTGGCCTCTGGCCCAAGATCTCTCTAAAGCTTGCATTTCCGAAATGCTATTGTGAGATCCAAATAGCCCCTGGGTCTAAATAATAATTTAAAATTAAAATTAAATTTTAGTAGAAAGTATTCTTTAGTATTCTTTCATTTTGGTGGGAAAATAACGGTTTTCTAACGTGGGAAAGCAGACAACAGAGCCACTTCCTCTGACAAAAGTATGAGCATCCTTTGTTTTTTCCCTTATCTGTTAAAAATCTCGCCATGATAGAAATTGATGACCCCTCATTTCTT